GAGTGAGCAGGGACACAAGTCTTTTCAATAATTAATGCTATAAGGAATTGTGTCCTAGAATAACCCTGTGAATAAGTAGTAACTGAAAAAAAAATCAGTACCTAGAAAGACTAACTAATAAATACTTAGCTTGTGAGAATCAAAGCTGTTGTGATTCTGAAGACTGTAGGAGCTCTGGAAAAATGGTATCCTGAATTGTGAAGCATTTTACATAAAAAAAATCAAGCCAAGACCTCTGCAGATGTGTGCCATACATATAAGAGTCTTATTCTCAGTTGCACACCAGTTTTGGCGTGTTTGAGCAGACTGCCTGTGCACTGCAACCAGGAGGCATGGCTGCTGTCTTTGGAGAGTTGGGGTGGGCAAGGGAGCTGAGGGCTAGTGGGAGGTCCACATTTCTGGAAGTAGAGTGAATGGATAAAGCACAATCTGAAATTTCTGTTCACTAGTGAATGGCTTACATTTCCTCTCTTGTATAAGTGACTGGATTCAAGGGGTAATTGTCATCTCCATTTGGCCAAGAGCAGAGTTTGGCAGCTTCTGGAGAAGGGCTAGTTTCTTCCTCCAGTACGTGCTAGTCAAGACTGGAACATAAAGGAACTGATGACCTGTGCCTCAAAAACTAGACTCCTCTGGAAATGAGTCACAGTTCCCTATGTGTTTTCCCAACTGTAACCCACAGGTAATAAACTCTCTCACCCCTGGGAGAGAGTGGGCCCGGAAGAGGATGGCCAAAACAAATGACCTCATCTTCAGTGATGGAAGACATTTTTCTTCAAGAAACAGGTGCAGTAGGAAATCAAGAAGACACACATATGGAATTAAACTTGGCTTTTCTTTCATCAGCGGACCACATTGTGGTCGGTCTGTCAAGTTGCTACTGTAAGGAAAGGGGCTATCTCCATACATTGAAGGAAAAGTCAGAGGATCTGCTATTGAGAGTTTCTTTGCTCAAATGTGGTGTCTCCACTTAATCCCGATGCCCAAATGTTGAAATAAAAGAAAAACATCCACATTGGACTTCAGGAGCCCAAAAAACAATCCTCAAGTCTCCCATTATGGTGGTCTCTGCTGTGTTCTGCTTCCTTAGTTCTTCCCCAGTCCATCAAGATGCTCAGATACCACCTGGTCTTTTAACCATTTTTGCATATAGCTTTCTCTGCCTCTCCTCTGCTTGCACACATGCTTCCCTGTCCTACTGGACTTCACATACAAGACACAAGCCCAAAGACAATGTGGAACATAAAGATGATGACAGCAGAGCCTAACTCTAAGTGTGGGTCCTGGCCTGCTGGCAGATGCCACATGCCCATCAATCTTGTTCTCATCCATCTTGACCTTTTCCCATCTGACCCATCCTCCAGAGACAAGTTAAAAGCTGCCTTTGGTGGGCAGATTACAAGTATTCATACTCTGGGCCTCTCCTTGGCTCTAAAGATGGCCAAAGTCATCCCTTCCAGCATTCCTGCAAATCTGTGAGAGCTTCCTTTTCATATTTTTTGATTTATTCATCTGTTTCTTCAGGGGAAGGACTACATCTTCATTCATCATAGAATCTGCCAACTAAGCTAGCTATAAGAATTGCTTAGTAACTGTTTGCTGGAAATGAAGAAAGAGAACAAAGAGAAGAGAGGTTCACTGGAAGCCACATGCATTCCAGTCTCCAAGCTGCGTTTTGTTTTCCAAAGTTGGAGTCATTGCTAATGCTACGGTCTCACATCCCGAAGTTGTGGGACGAGCAGCTTTTGTTTCCCTTTCCAGCCTCTAAATCAGTGTGTACATGTTGATCTTTCTAAGGAGATTTGCCTTCAGAGGTTATGACTACATTTTAGTCAGGGAAATATTTTAGAGTTTCTACAACTATATAAACGTACAAAAATGATCATCTTTAGATGCCTCTGTTTTCAACCTTTTTTTGGGGGGTTTGAGAAACTATTTTGATGAAGAAAAAAAACACATCTGGAAATGCTTTCTACGCATTTCAGGTTAAAAACAACCCATCACAGGGCCTTGGGAAAATCCTGGATGTTTCATGAAGTACTGAAGATCTTCATGAACTGCTTTATTAAAGGTGAACCATTCTGTTAGAAATGTGAAATTCTCACGTTAGCAAGGCACATGTGTCATCCTAAGAACAGGGAGCCAATTTACACCCATCCTCCTCTTCCCAATACAAATATCCATCCTTTTTGCATAATGATTTGAGTTGAAAACTGAGAAAGCTCACTTATGCTTATGGGAGAAGCTTCATTAAAAAAAAACAGTAAAGTGGAATAAATTTAAACCGCAAAACAATAATTAAAAAAAATGCACCACAGACACTGCATCACTAAGAAAGCCAGTAACTTTACTGAATTGTCTGCAAAATACAAATTATACCTTATTTCCAGCAGGAGAAACTTTTGAAAATTCCCCACTTTTATTCACTACAGACAGCTGAATTAAGTCCCTTGAGATACACAGATGTGGTTTAACTTAGTTATAACATCTTGTCATCTAGTGGCGACAAAGTCCAGCTTATGCCGCTGTGAGCCTCTATTTGATTATTTGTTGCAAATGCTTGTATGCCCTCATTTACAAGCTATTTTAGTGACTATCGTTTAATGGAAACAATTCCCCAGAAAAAAGAAAAAGAAGAAAAATGATACAGCAAACCATCTGAAGCAATCCAAGTCCTCTGCCTACAGTGACCCAGGTCTACTTTGCTCCAAGAGAACACTGGAAGTGCATTCAAATCACAACCGAATCTGTCACTGAGCTGATCTCTCTGAATTCAACTGAGGTATGAATAAATTTGAGGTATGATTAGGGAAGGCAAAAATGCAATACCCGATTATGAAAATAACCAAAAGGGACAAATTTAATGTCTAAGATATGTGGCTTGGATTGCTCCACATCTTTGGTTAAAACATATTAAGAAAAGCCTTTAATTACATCTGTAGTCTGAAGTATTCTAACAGACACCAGTATTCCATCAATCTTCAAAAGATCTGTAGTGGCAGGAAATTAACGCCATAGAAGTGACGACATGACAGCAGATGGCACGAACGGGAACAGATGAAGTATGCCATGCTCAGGCAACAGCCTTTATTGAGGGTTCAAGTGGCTGTGTCTTTTTTTTTTAAGTTGCTTTTTCTTAAAGAAAGAATTACAAAGCATTTACTTTCTGGAAAAATCAACAAAAGGATAGAGGGGGCAAAAATGCTATCTCAAAGTTAAAAGAAGGGTCTAAGAAAAAAAGGTGAAAGTGAGAGAGGGCGGACATTCTTTTTAAAGGTGTATTGACATTTCTCTCTCCTTTAATTATTGTTTTATTGAACCTTAAAGTGATGAGGATCATGGCTATTTTAATTTTCATCATTACAAAATACGAAGTTCCACCTTTGGGAAAAAATAAGCCATTTTCCTAAAAACAAAACCCCGCAATTTTTAAAAAGGTTGAAACGAACAGCCTTCTACACACCAATGCAGACAATATAGAGATTGTGCAGCTTGAGTATACTGCATCAGTGTTACCAGTATTTAAGCTTAATATAAGTAAAAATCTTTTAAAAACAGGATTAGCTATAACAACACTTGTGTAGCTGTGTAAAATGCCACTTAGGATTCTTATGCTTGCAATGTTGCCTACAATGTTACTCTAGGATGGGTTATGTAAAATAACACTCCTTCAGGGCTCTGCCCTTCACTTCAGAGTACAAAGGATTTACTTCTGATACAAACCCCAAACCAGACCAGCTCTGCAGATACAACAAATGGCAAAAGACAGATAAGATATAAGGGTAAAGGGAGACAGTGATTGTTTACAGAAAGTGACTTCTCACAATCAACATTGTGCTTCTCATTAAGTCATCTTAAAAAATATTCTCAGCTTATCCCTTTCCTATCTTGCCACCTCTTTAGATGAATTCCGTAGTGGGAACGAGATGACTGGCATCCCTTCTCAGGTGATTCTGTTCCTTTCAATGTTCTTAAAAAACTATTGTCAGAACCGCTATATATAGCCAAGGCTTCTGTGGGCACGTTACCTACTTTATCTTCAGCATTAGAAATTCACGGTTTCTTTGTTGCTGAAGCAAATTGCAGTAAAAAATTCATATGGCTATTTTTTTCATATTTTCACATCATGAAACTTTCCCACCCACAGGTAAATTTCTACTGATATTGATAAAAGTGTTTTGAAATGACGAAGAACATTTGTGACATCTTTGCATATTTTATACACATCATATTATAAAGATGGGGTGTAAGGATGGGATCAAGTCTATGGTGAGAAAAATGTTTTGCTTAGTTTTTTTTTCTCCCCTGGTTGTGTGTGTATGTGGAAGTGTGTGTGTGTGTGTGTGTGTGTGTGTGTGTGTGTGTGTTTATGTCCATGTGCCTGGGCACATATGTGAGTATATTTTCTGGGATGATTTCCATTTTTCCTCTGCAAAACTGTTTGTCTTTCATGTCTCATGAATACCTTAAGTGGTGTGATATATGAAATGGTTGAATTTTGTATGTGTTTTAGTATATAAAACGTTAGTACAAGGCAGGCTAGCATCCTATATGGACACAACCAAAGGTGCATTGTGGTCTAAAGGTGAATTTCAGATCAAGTTAAGAAAAATATAGCCTAGTTAGTAATGTCTCTTGGCTTTTGCCACCCAGCGGCAGCCTTTTTACAATGAGAAACACATAGCACTATGCAAAGAAAAGAAAAGAAAAAGATAAGAGGTGTCCTATACTAGATGACATAGCAGTCGCGACCTTCCTGTTTACATCTTCTGTGCTGTGTATGTCAATGCATATGATTGGAGATGAATTGACAGATCTTCACATTCCAAGAGAAGGAAAATCATTTCTAGACTGATATCTCCTTTTAACAATATATATCAACATTTCTTTTTTTTTATGGCACTCACTTTTCAAAGGGTCTGAAATTAATCCCTCAAGGAAGAATACTAGACAAGAGTCATATGTCTTGAAAAAATTTTTAAAAAAGGGACATAGAGAGATTCTTTAATGGGATTTCTTGAAATGGCTATTCAATCTCTTTATTGAAGAAAAAAAATAGATGACATACATGCTTTATGCAGAAGTGACATTTGGGGGTCCTGACACACCGGGATTGTCCAACAGTCCTATATTGCTGACAAGATTGTTAAGGGTCAGTATAGAAAAGAAATAAAAATGGACGATGAAGCAACTATCCCTTTACCTGCTTCCTTCTTGTCTAGCAACCCATCTTTCACATTTTTCTTCTGTGGGAATTTAAAATTATGCATCGAGTACATTCCATATCACTTGTTTCTAGGGTGATATTTGCAGGACATGTGGCCCCAACACAGCTTCTCTATTCTGGGCATATTTCTTAGAAGCATATCAAGTTCTAGGCTGAAAACCAACCAGATGATTTAGGATACGGGCAAGTTAGAGTATGCACTTACTGAATTCCAAGATGCATGGTGAAATGGTGAGATCAGAAAGGGGCCCTGCATTTGATAAAAATGCAAAAACAAAAATAGCATGAAAGAAACTAATTAGTATATACAATGGATGTCAGTTGACCCAATACATTGCGAATGTATTAAATACAATTTAGGGTGTTGCAATGTGATATGTTCTAATCCCACAGGTTATCCTTTTGACAGCTGACCTTAATCTTTAAAAATGTATGCAGAGTAAAAGAAAACAGAAAGAAAATAGTTACTCAAATGTGCAACCGCACAAATATACCCCCCTCCCGCTATTAAGATAACAAAACTTCTGCTATTACCATAATATTATATATATTAGAAAGCTATACACAAGCATGTTAATTTCACAGATTTTTTAAAAGATTCTTAATATTTTATATAATTAGAAATACACATTTCAAAAACAAAACTTCTACAAAGAGAAAACAGTTATCTTGGTTAGCAAAGCATGGAATTTTTCATGGCTTAGGGTAGTGCTTTCTATACAAAAAGTCCTTTTTGGTTTTTTACAGGACTGTTTAAAATATTAGCGAAGCTATCAAGGGGGAAAAACACATTTTGGCTTAAGTAAACTACAAAAAGCCACAAATGCTTTGCAAACTCTGTCTTACCTTTTATATGAAAATAAGCAAAATGTAATGTACATATTTTTATATTTTATTTAATAAGAGATGCAGACCCAGATTTATTTATTTAATTAAATATGTTAGCCCTCAAACTCCACTTTTTTTAAAAATAGGTATGGTCCTCTTTGAATGGTGGTTGATCCTTTTGAATGAGTGCCATACGCCAATGATATGCCTGTAGGTTTGTGAGCATTCTCGGTTAGGTGCTAGGTGACCTGGCTGTGTTCCTAACATTTACCAATTGGTCACCTTTTGCCGGGTCTGTCCAAAACATCTATACATTTTTTTTCTATATGTTGCATAACAGCTGCTCTCTCTTTCAGTAAAGATCTGCCGCTTTTGGCAAATGTTTCCTTTTGTCTATTTACATGTAAATAACGTTGAACCTGCAACATGACACTATCTATTGTAACATACATTTTGCAAAGGAGCACAACAGTGAAAAGAAGTTAGCCTTAAAATCTATTTTGTACAAGTGTTCTGTTGTACAACTCAAGTGCTAAGCTTATCTCAGCATTTCTGTTTATCTTTATACTGTATCACTGAGGCAATTGAAAAGTACTTTTACAAAACAGAGTACCTGACTTTTTTTTTTCCACACACAGCACATATAATGCATATCGACCCCCCTTCCCCATTAAGGTATAGCACACACACACACTGCAAGAAAAAAAAAACTATTAAGTAATAATCTGATCATGTTGCCCATCCTTCAGAGAGTCGCATGCGCTTGACTGAGGGACTTTCCCTTTCGTCCGGCGAAGGTCTGGTGAGTCCAATGGGGGAGTGGAATTCGTTCCGGTGATCCTCTCGGTCGCTCCCGTCGTAGGAACTGCTACAGCTGCTCAAGCTGTCAACAGGAGATCTCCCCGCCTCGTGGCGCGTGTGTTGTGGGTATCTCGAAGGGGTGGTGGTACGGTCTCTAGGAGGAGAAACAGGTTCTGACTTGATGTTGAGGCTTTGAGTAGAAGGCAGGGAGAGATTTGAACTCTGAGATAAATGAGTGCTAGTGCAAGCTCTGTAGGAGGAAAGGAAACCCAGTTACAGATGGAGGAGGCCTGGAGCCCCCAGGAACTCACAATTATATCAAACATCAGCTTCAAGACTTGCATAGACACCAGAGCAGGCCCAGAGGGAGGAGGCGTGCTTGGGAGTACAAGGGGGTTGCCTTTCTACAAGGAGCCTGGACGCCTATGTGGATCTGGGAGTAATGACAGTATTTAACTGGTCCAGGTCTCACAGATTAGATCTTCAAGTCTCTGACAAGCTCTCCGCACAGAGAGGAGACCATTTCAAAAAGGTTTAAGAGAAGCCTTGTTGCAAAAAAAAAAAAAAAGCATTTTCTATGTCCACAGAATTTCTCCCTAGACTAGGCCCCAAATCGAATCTCAGCCTTAAAAGATCATGTTTCGTTTCTGAATTTGACTTCTTCTATTTACAAATGCTGGTGCTTGACAGTTCTCTGACAAAGCCTACTATGAAGAACATCTCTGCTAGGTTTCCAGAGAAAGTGGAGAGAGTTCAAGTTTCAAGTGAAGGGAATCTACACTCCACTACATTTAACTGCATCTCAGAGGATCTGGGAAAAGGGGCAGCAGGGTAAGGAGGTGGAAACTGATGGGCAGAAATTTTTGAGCTGACATGAAAACACTCTGGCTTTCCACCCCACCAAAACAGATATATAGTTTTATTGACTTTATTCTCTCTCAGTTCCATGGATGAAAATACTCTTTCCCCAATGAGTCCAACATTAGTCTTGTGAGGCACTCCCTGCTATGGCAGTTAGGGTCTTACTCCCTGATATCAGTTGATGAACCCGCACTTGCCCAAGTAAAAGTTGTTGTTAAGAGGGATCTTGTATAACTTCATTGTACATATAACCTTTAATCCCCACGTAGCTCAGGGAAGAGCATAACTTCCAAAATTAAAGAAGAATTAACATCAAATTCTGGAGGGAAACACTTTATACCCTTCAAGTATGGACTAGCAATAACAACAACTTTGATCAGGAGAAACTACAGTGACATTGCTGACATCAATTTTAGGATGATTGTACAATTCCTCCATCCTAATCCTACTGGGACCATGGCCGGGCTCAGCTTTACTTGACTAGGAGATACAGAAATCTTTCACTGGGAATGAGATTCAGTGAAAAATGATGAACTCAGGCACATCCATTTTAAACAAAGAAAGCAACCCTATATGTTCTTGTATGTTATTACGTTGCTTTCCAACTGAGAGAATCAGGTGACATTAAGAAAAGAATGAGTGGTGAGGAACTGGGTATATATTCCAGGGGAAAATGTGCAGTAAGTTGGGTCTAGCTTTTGAGAACATGCTGTTCAACCTCAAAATGTATAGACATATAAAAGTAGTCAGAAATGAGTTAATGTTTGAGTGATATTTTATACAAAAGCACCACCTACTGGCAAAGGATCACTTTCCTCCTCTTATTAATAGATGAGCTAATGTTGAGAATAACATAAAGGAGAATCAATCATAATTCCCCCATAAGCCCTTTCCCTGGCTTTTAAGATATTACAGAATTAAAGCAATCAGAATTTCTACCAAGACATCATTGAAAGTCTGTAATTTCAATCGCCTATTTATACTTAGTTCTTTACATATTTGAGTTTATAGTCTATTATTTGTATGCTCATTTGCTAAGCAGTTTAGTTACGTAATATACCAACTAAGATATTAAAGTGGAAAGGGTTGCCTGTATTTCAAAGGGATCCATAATGGTGGACTATTTAACCTAGGTTCAGAGTCAGTTAATGATTCATTCTGATTTGGAGGAAATAATCTTCTGATTTCTGGAAGAAAGAATTTTTCTGGCTTTGGGCAAGAAAGACTATTTTGATAAAATTTAATTAAGTGTTTCTACCATGAACCACACAACTGTTTAATAATAAGTATCAATTATGAGAATGAAAATAAAGTGGGAGATCAAGAAATACTTTTGCCTGCCCTTTAATATTGTTTTTATTGGCAGTGTGACATGAAAAAGTTTTTAAAAAACGTATACTTGGTGACCTGGACAAGTATATGCAGATGGCCTGGATAAATTAAGCTAAAAATAATATGACCAAGTGCTACTTCTTTATTACAGATTTTGAAAGCAGCCTTATCAAATTATTTGTTATATTCCCTAAGGTCAAGAGGCAAGTATAATCTTGCGGTATCTTTTCCATAAACAATATAGCACTATTGTTTATTTCTTCTTGTAAGTAAGTAGGCTAGTACTTACTAAGCTTATCTTTTCATGGAATTTAACTGGCACTGAAAGCATATGTGAAGCATTTGAGTAGTTCAGGGGCACTAAATCCAGAGTGATGATATTTAAGGGACATTAGGTTCAGCTTCTTTATATTGTAGTCTAGATTTCCAAACAAAAAGAAATTTAATTGGTCTATCTGTTATCAGAAATTGTTTTTTTGCAAACAAAAAGGAGCATTAAAACACCACTTAGTCATATAGGCGAATTATCAGGAACTATTGATTTGTCAGTTTGTTCTTGAGAACAGAATTCTAATAGATGCAGGTAATGGGGAAATGCACATAGGTGTGGAGAGCGAAAGGGAAACAGGACTAGCAGGCTGCCTCTGTAAGCTCTACTGTATCTTCATTTCCTACAGGTGCTTTCCAATGGGGAAAACACCCACCGTCCCCTATCACCGTTCAGAAAGGATCTATGATTGGATAGTTTTATTCAAATTTCTTACTGTCTCTGACTGAAAATTAGACTATTAAACTATATTTAACCTAACCTTCATGTAGTTATCTCTCTTGGTATGTATAGAACACCCAAACCGACAGAGATGATGTACAGAAGTACTTTCAGAAATGGGCTGCCTTTTATATTTTCATGGTGAGAGGAGAAAAACGCCTGAAACTTGGGTATCATAATTCAAATGTTTAGTATTCAAAACTTTTGCAAGACCTTGATGGCACCTCTCTACTATACACTCTGTAAATCAATCAATTCCTGCTGTTTCATTTAGTGAAATAAAACCAGATAATAGATAAAGATTAAGGGCAGAGCTCTAATGACTCAGCAATAGTTCCAAGACCAAAATTCGAGCAGCTCTGTCATATGTTTTCCATTTGAAGAGACAACTCTGGTCACCATTTGGGACTCCTGGAATATCTACTTCAAGCTGAAATACATTTGATCTGCTATGGCACTTTGTATAAATTCAAACAGGTGTAGTAACTGCTATGGCTCAGAAAATAGGATGAAGAACTGTAGAAAAATGAGTCCACTAAAATTATTTCTTTTATGTAAATATTAAAAATATAAAATATTTAGGAAGTTTTTAGGGACCAGTGGCGTGGCTTGGTAGTAGAGTACATCATTTACTCTTTTGAGGTTCTAGGTTTGATCTCCAGAACTACAAAAATATTTTAGGGTTTTAAAAACAGTTTAACATTTAATTGTGTGAAGTTGGGCTATACTTTTAAAGGCCTCTGTTTTTGCAAAGCTATTTTATGAATATGTGTGTATGTGTATGTGTGTATGTTAGAGAGAGAGGGGGAGAGAGAGACACAGAGAGAGAGAAGGAGGGAGGGAGAGAGGGGGAGAGAGAGAAATTGAGATGTGTCAATGGAGAAAGGAAGGAAGGAAGGACTTTTAATGGAAGAAAGGTTCTAAGGAAAGGTCAGAGGGGAAGAGAGCCAAAATTAGAAGGATTGAACAACTCGGTCTTATCTATTTGAGGGATAAAGGAAGTGATTAAGTGCAGTAAAAACTTGATCCTAAATTCAGAGTTAAATTATGCACTATGAATGTTGGTGTTGAAAGGATCCGGAACGAAACAAAATGCATCATTCTTGGTTGTGACAATTCATTTCTGCAGTCCAGGTTTGTAATTTTTGTCCATTTTCTGAAGCCTCACTAAGGTATTAAGGGCAGCAGAGAATTAGGTTTTCCCCACATAATAAAAGAGAGTTTAAGAATTGTTAAATATGTAAATAAATATTGTATAAAGTGCTAGGTGTTATTGAAAACAAAAGCCACATCCAGTAAAAATAATATGGCCCTCAACATTGATGATGATGAATTTTTTTTTTATTCTACCTGTGGCAGTGCTCAGGGCTGACTCTTAGTTGTGTTTGGGAAAAAATGTGCTAGGGACCGAACTGGAATTGGCCGCATGCAAGGCAAGTTCCTAAACCCATGTACTATTTTTCCAGCTTGACACTGCTAATTTGAAAAGAAATCTATTTCTTTACCAGATAAGTTGGATTTTTTTTTGCGCTTTTTGGGTCACATCCGGCAATGCACAGGGGTTGCTCCTGGCTCATGCACTCAGGAATTACCCCTGGCGGTGCCCGGGTGACCATATGGGATGCTGGGAATCGAACCCGGGTCGGCCACGTGCAAGGCAAACGCCCTACCCGCTGTGCTATCACTCCAGCCCAACCGGATAAGTTTTTATGAGAAATGAAAAGTAAATAGTTGTAACTTTTGTTTTTGACACGGATCCTATACAGTGTGTCTCTGCTAAGCCCTAGCACAAGTAATAGCATGTGTCTATATTTTAAGATTGTTAGGATGGTATGATATATTAATGTTAGTAAATGAAAAGTCACTGCAATTTATGTCTGTTGAAATAGTTAACATCCATGAGAAAAAGTAAATGTTATTCTAAAAAAGGTAACTCTGTTGTGGATCAATATTTAATGTCTTTTCAGTTACTCTTTTTAAGAAGGCAGAGCAATCATGTTAAGTGATTTTACCTGTTATTTACACGAAAGATTAGATTCTCAACATTTCATGAGTATTATACACATAAGCAAAGGCTGCATGGGGCAGACTATAATTGGACAATGACATTACGAGAAATCAATTCTCGGTGAAGCTGATTTGGGAGCAGGAGGGGCAGAAAGATACTGAAAAGGTGACTTATTTCAGTCTACTTTTTGGACTCCTTAGAAATACAGAACTAGTTAACTATTCTAATAAAATTTCTCAGTGGCAATGTAAAAGTGACGCAGGCATTGAGGATGTTTCTGAAAGATATAAAAACTTCTTTTAAAATATTTTCTATTTTTTTTTAAAGACTTGCATTTGGGAGATTTTAACTAAATTCAAATTGGGTCTTCAATTCATGTTTTAAACATAAAAAACTCTAAAAGTAATGTTAATTAGTGCAACTTATGTGAATTCAGGGCGCGCTTTCTTTTTTAAAAAAAATTAAGATCTGACTATTTTATAATAAATAACAGGAGTAATTTCTGTTATAAAGACGTATATCAAAACTGCCACAAGGGGGCAGAAATATCCATCTTCTGACCAGAAAACAAAAAATATTTTTATATACAAATTTAGGTAATTAGTTTATGTATGTATATATATATTTACGTTGAAACAACTTCTATTACTATATCACTGTACTAAGTACTTCACAAATATATGATATATAGCCATTGAATAATTGATCTTACAAGTATTAGCTTGACATTTGAACAAAGTGGGTTTATGCTGTGAGGTTTCTCAAATACCCCAAAAACTCAAGAACTTCTATCTACGAATACCTTTTTATGTCCCACCTGGGGTACGCAAAAAAATGGTAAATAAAATTTTACCACTGAAAGATGTGGTAACAACTACAGCCTAAAAGATTGGGGAAAATAATCGGTCTCATCCTCGGAACTCCAACCTCCCTCTGAATGATTGAGGGGAGTAACATTTACACTACTTGGAAAAATACTGATCAAATAGGTAACTTTGTTCAGCAAAATTTTACATTTACTGTGGGGATGACATTAGAACATACAATCGGAACATTCCCTTTGAAGCAACATTCTACACATGCGCTTATTATGAAAGAAGTGAGAGTGCTTACCCCAGCTGACTGAGGGCGGACGGTGGCATGTTATGTAGATGCTGCTGCTGCCAGCCAGTTACAGACCCCAGATGCAGCGCGCTGGCGGTGTTAAACCCAGACAGAGATGACAGGTCTGCGCTACTCAGAGAGTACTCTAGATAGAATGAAACAATGAATTTGGAAATCAACTAAAGGGTGTTGAGAATAAACACTTCCAGTTTAAAAATTCTTTAAAAATATAGTGACTTAGGTTTTTGTTTCCTTGGTGAGAAGTAGAGGGAGACTATCACATTTTAATTTAAACAAGCTAGACTATGTGCCAAAAATAAGTATACAACTATACTCCATAGAAGTTCTGAATCAGTCCAGCATGCAAAACGACTGTCTTGAATCACAGCAACAAACATTTGATGCTCTAGAAATGCTTTTTAAATAATTCAAAGAAAGTGAGCTTTCTATTACAGCCAAGAGATAACAACTATATCTCCTTGAACTTATTCTTCTATTTTGAATTAAGGTTGTGTTAATTAATAAAACTTTTGGTCACTTAAAAAAATCTGGGTGTTAACTTTATCTTTGTAATAATGCAAGTGATGTTACTGTGTTATACATACTACAGATAGCAAATAAATATAGCTTCCCAACAGACTAAAAGGTAACTTATTTTCCATCTTGCTTTTTAATAAAAAGTATTTATGCACAATTTGAAGATGGCAATCTACTCACCAGTACCATATGTTGTTGAAATGGCTGATGGATATCCTCCCATCCCTTGTCCTGGTAAAGTAGGAGTTGCTACGGAAACCACTGGGGTAGCCAATGACTGAGCAGACTGGGAGTTATTTATCCTTTGATTCTTTTAAAGTAAATAAAAAGACATTATTGACGGACTTGAAAAAAAAGTTAGAAATACTAGATTTCAGCATTAGTTTTGCACATAAAGAGATAACGTGGTACAAATTTCATGAAATTAATCATTTAACATGTGTCTCTATGAACTCTGCCAACCCTATCATTTACAATCCTTCAAGAGACCAGCTGTTGCCATAGTAACCCATTACATCAGTATCTCCTAGGCAACTAAACTAGTAACAAGTACCATAGCTTTATTATGGGTAAAAACAGACTACGTTGAAAACTGATGAAATATGTATACTGTACTTCCATTGTTTCAGCTTTTATTCAAATGCAAATTAAAAAAAAATTAAAATCAACCACGGTGGTTTTTATGCTTAATTCCACATACAGCAGATGGAGAGGGTTAATGCTACAGTATTACCAGCAGGTGGTGCTCTGACCACTTTTTTCAGGTTCTGAACTTCCCTCAAACTAGATAGATGGCAAAAGCAGTTAGCGTGTGTATTTAACTCCTTGCAGCAAGAAGATTAAATATTCATATGAATGCAAAGACCAAGACACGTTAATTCTTGGTAAAAATAAGTATCCTTGTGGTTTTATTTATTTTTTTTTTTGGTTTTAAAATTTTTTTGGCTCTAAAATTTTTTTGGCTCTAAAATAACCTGAAAAACATAACCCTCCCAAATAGCGGTGGAGATAAAAACGATCTGGTATTCTTCCCACCAGTGAGTGATACTTGAAATTAATGATATTTAAGTACAATCAATGTTGACACATAATGGAACATCAGTCATCTTTCCATTTCACAAGAGCTAGCATCACCTAAAAGTTGCCCTGAATTTCTCCTTGGACAACATGCCATTCAAGGGAAGCTCGCTTGCCACTTACCAAAAGCAGGTCGACATCCTCAGACTGAGAGCATGGGGAAGGAGTTTTATTAATTAGTGTCTGCAAATATTTATAATTGGGCAAAATCTTTGCAATGAAAGGAAAAGCATCCGTTGATAGACCCAACAGTTTAAACAGCCTCCATAAAGATAACTCCTTTCACACAGCATTTCTTTGTTTTCTTAATGAGCTATTTGTCCTAAATGTGAAGACAATCTATCCTGTTTTCAGCACAGGTCAGTGTCTCAGCATTCATTATTTCACGGCCGCATTTGGAGGGAGGGGGGGAAAAAAAGAATCAGAATAACAACTGTACTTTGAAACTGTGTTCACTGGAGGCGGTGGAGAGCACCTGGCTGTCAGCGTTTGACCTGCTGGACCAAGACGCATCCCTGGGAAAGCACTGTTTTATGGGAGTTGGAATAAATCTGCTTCTAGAGACAGCCTGTCATGCAGGGCCCACACAGCTTGGCTATGGCCCTGTGGGAGGTTTTATTTATTAGATCCAGTCTTTTCCGAAGAGAATATGCCTATGATGTGATTTTGGGGTGGGGGATTAATACACAAAATTAATCTGCACGGTGCCATCATAAACTAATCAGTTTGCAGGACAGTTTTACCCTGAAGCCTGCCACAGTGCACGGAAGGGGGGGTTAAAAAAAAAAGGAACGTATTTGTAGAATGATCTAAATTTGTCTACTGAATCTTGGTTTTAAGTGTTCTCGCTCATCAGCAAAACTAATCTGAAGAATAATGACCTAAGTCTCTTTGTTGTGGAATTTCAGTGCCACAACTTTATCTTCATCTTTGCCCTGCACACCCAGGAGAAAGACAATGATAGAGTCTGGGAATACTGTTTGGATCTAGATTTCCTATTTCTTTATTTCTTATTACAATGTGCCACAACTTGCTTCTTTGGTGTGCAATACAACTGTTGTTGTCAAAAAGTTTGTTCTCAAAATACTGTATGAGAACAATTTGCTTTTGAGAGTCGCTCTTCTATGAAGCTCACCTACAAATGTTTGATCACAGGCACATGCTATCATAAACATTATCACTGCGATATAATCAAGAAAGGGACTGCCAGCAAACAGGAGAAAGTTCACTTAGAAATCATGGGAAATATTTCTCGCTGTGAGCATCTTGAGGACCTACGTATTTCAATAATGTAAAAAACTGTTCCGAAATACCTCACTCTGAGCCTGATTCTATCATTGGTCAGATAATGTCCCATAGACATTGTAAGGACTAACGATTTTTCTCTAAGTCTAAATTAGAGACTTGGAAATGTTTCCTTTACCCCAGAACACCATTCTGATAGTGGAATTTATTGGCTATTGGTTCTTTTTTCACATGGATAAGGAAAATGCAAACCAGTTACCAGAAATAAGAGCTAAAAACAAACAGCAATAGCACTGATATAATAATTTTCAAGAACACACAAGTAATTCATACATTTAGACAAATACAGAAACAGCAAAAAAAAAAACATACAAAGCACTATCAAAATTTATTTAAAACAGAGTTTGGCATTACCACTGATGGCATTGTATTCTTGCTGCCTGGTGGGATAAGAACTCGAAGGTCTGGTTTACGATTATTCATCCCTAAATTCATGGGGGGAGGAGATTTTGCTTGCATGTTCTTGTTCAGGTTCCCAGGAGAGACCAGCAGACCTGGTGAGTTTCGGGGATTGCCATACCCATTCCCTGTCAATACAAAACAAGGAAAGCACTCAGTATGAAATCTAGGCTGGAGTCAGTCTCTAGAGAACACATTGTATGAGATGAAAAAATAAAAACTGCACAGGATAAGACATACAGTAACAGACAAAGCCCATAGGATGAATGACTTCACCTTCACATGAAGAACCTGAAGACAAATATCTTAGTACTGCGGGAAAATGAAAAGTTTTTCATAAGGAGAGAACCAATACCTGTTACCTGGCTCAGGAATATGCCTTCCTTCATGCCCCAGCTCAGCCTCATCCCCTCACCCCCCCATTACACATTTTTGAGAAGAAAATCAGTCTGCTTAGGATCTAAGAAAAGCACAGAAATAGTCATTCCCAGTAATGAACAAGCGTGGTAGAGGTCTGGCTCGTGTGGGTCACCCATCCAGTTCAATGGTTTAGGTTTGATTTTGTGAGTCTGAGTGTCCTTAAGTGAAGAAAAGGTGTTCCCAAAAGACTGATTTCTAGACACAGAATCAGTAGCTTCTTAGACATTTTGCTGTTCAATTTCTCTTATCTTTGAACGAATTCTCCTTCTGGTTTTCTCCCACCTGATGTGCCCTCCTCCCTGAATTTAATGTGTGATCTTCAAGCCTCGCTTTCTTGTGCACGCACAACTTCAAAGGCCAACTCCTCCGGAGCTGAAAGGATGGGCTGATGCCTCACTAAAGTGCTGATTCACCCAGGCACAGGAATAACCATTTCATGAGAATCCCGAAAGGGTTTACTTACTCCTCTGATGTTTAGTCCTCTACCACAGAAAAATTGATACCATGTCTCCCAACTCAAATTATACTGCTCTGCATTTGAAAATTTCCAAGTTGTCCTGGAAGTTAACTCTGCACGGTAACAGATGGTCAACTGACTGTGGTGACCACTTGTCAACGTTGACAATTCAAATCATAATGTATATGTAAGCCAATCTTGGGTTATATGTCAATTATCCCTCAAGTTAAAAAAGAAGCAAACCTTTATTGATATGAGGAGCGACAAAGGAAGCTGATACAACCTGAGATGACACAGAATAATCATCTGTCTGCTTCCTTCGATGACTCTGAGTACAGAAACCAAAGTACCCAACTCAGTAGTCATTGTTGGAAAACTAGACAGTTGTTTGCTGAGATGGTCAAACTCTCTTGGTTGTTACTGTCATCATTATCATTATGGGAAAACACAAGTATCTATTACCCCAGGAAGAATGATACTCTTCTGACCAGTGGAGAGGCAAAACAAGGCCTCAATCCTTCAGGCCCTGCAATTCCTTCATGCTCTTCCAATATGGACATATGTGGCATAATGTGTACAAGACACTGCAGGCTGGGGCTGGGGTGCCTACAGAATAAACCAGCTTAAGTGTTACTGGGTTCCCAGATAGGAAGAGATTTCCAGTCAAGACTTACAGAAGAGGCAGGTATTGACGGGGGCCTTGAGGAAACAAAAGACACTTGTGACTGAGCCGAGACAGTCAAGGGCGCCAAAGAACTCGGTTAAATGGGAAGCCCTGAGAGGATAAGGGTGCCAGGGAGGCTTGACTCTGGAGATGACAAATTCCAGGCTGACACGTCTTGGGTTTAAATGGTGGACACGCAGATCCACAACAATGGCAGAACTGAGTACTAAACACAGGTTCTATGTGGACAGAACAATTGACTGGTAAATGGTAATGGAGAATTAGGAAGGCTGGGAAATACAGATGTGGAAATGAAGGGTTCAAAGTAAGGAGGAATGCAGAGGACAAGCACAGGTATACTACAGGAGATTGTTACAGGAGCCTCTTTTGAACTTGAATATAGTCGACGCACACTGCATAAAGCACATTTATTATTATTATTTATTATTCTTTATATCCCATTCATTTACCTGTCTCATTTTATGCATGAATAAACAGAGTGAATATATAATAAATAACCCCAATATTAAATCTGTCAAATGGATTATGCCTAAGATTCTCCAAGCTACTGGAAAAAAAATCCCAAACAAAATAAATACCCCATATATGTGTTGAGTCCTGATCATTACTTAATTCTGCGAAAGTATGAATACAAGCTACTCTTTTACAAAGAAAAAAAACTTGGAGAAAATTAAATTCCCCAATTCAGTTATATGCATTAAAAATAAAAATTTTATAGTGATTTCAAACAGTTTTCTGTGGCAAAGATGAAATAAAGATCTTTAGCTTTTATCACTAAGAGAATAACAAACAAAGACTATGCTCACTTAAGAATAAAATGCTGGATAAGATGAAATGCTCAGAGGAGTTATAGATTTAATGTGTCTTACTGAATCATTATTGTGCCTGTGTTAGGGCTTTAGTTTTAATTAATAGATCCGATTAGCTTAAAAGGGGATAATAAAACCAAGACCAAATTTGCAGTATGTAACCCTGTCAGTTGAATATCAGACTGACACACTGAATACATATGTCACTTATCTATTAAATCTGCGTGAGATCTGGTTTAAATAAACAATCAAATGGAAAATTAGCTGGGTAATTTCAAAAGAAGGGGGAAAAAAAGTCAGTTAAGCAGTGCAATGAAGCTTGAATAGATCAGAAGAAACTAAACCCGGCTTGGTAGATGCCGATACTGGTTTGCATGGAGGAGTTATTTTGCTAAACGGAAGTAAAACCGCTTCGTGAAATGTGTTGTCCTGTGATATGACAAGAGCTGGGCCAGTGTGCAAAAATGGAAAATGCTTCACAGAGGCGCCGAGAAAAGGTTTTTTTTTCAAGAAAACCTTTTCTACAGTATAAGCGCACAGCAAATCCAACAAAACCTACGTCTTTTTTTTTTTTGCCTGTATTTTAAACAATAATTTGGGGCAGCAGTAGGAAAGGAAAGTAAACATACATTATAGTTTCTTCATTCAATAAATGCCTCCCAACTAAAAACCTGATTTGAAAAGCATTCAATTTTTCTCCTGGAATATTTTCTGTTATTTGGAAATTATGCCATTTCAGAAGATTAGTCACATACTTTAAGGTGTTTACACATTGAATGTAAAATGTTTTGAACCACAATGACACTTCTTAAATTCATATTTTTAGAGCATAAAGTTATTTTTAAGAACAAATAAATTCTCTCTTTTCCTGGTGAATTTCTGCTGTTTTTAGCATATTGTGCCAGCTAGCATTTTGGAGCCGTATAATAACCATTTCTGTTTCCAGCCACCAAGTTGTTATTCTTTTGGCATAATATAGATTCGAGAAGGCAAGACTGTGGATCCTAAACCAGTGATATAGAAACCTATCATTTGAAAATCAATGATGAATACATGCGTGTGGTTTACTGCTAAGAAGAGCCTGCATTTAAACCGGCTCGGAAACCACGGCCTCCTCCCTCCCTCCCTCAGAATGCGGTGGCCTGTGTTTGAGGCTGTTGTCCGATCTTAAGATCAATTCACCAAAGAGAAAGGTCTCATTTCAAGTCGGGAGTTGGGGAGTGGGTGGAAAACAGCATCTTTCAATAACCTTCTAATACACAGATTCAACCTTTCTTAAGTGACATTTGAAAAATTGCCCTCCACCCGGACAATGATCAATTTAGATGTGACTATCTGCAGATGGCACATTCTCCTGACCACTTGAAAGTACAAAAATTATAAAGCATGAATGAATAGATTTCCTGATTATAGATTATATGAAAATGAAGACCAGACCAACTTGGAGTCAGTTTATCGTTTCAGTTGATTAAAAATATTGATTCATATACAATGTAAGCATTCACGACAGAACTTGTCCAATGGAAAATAGAAGCCACCTCTATGGGTTACAAGTTTCCCAACACCCAAATTAAAACTAGTGTAAATATACAGGACTAGGAAAGCAGTGTTAAAAGAAAAAAATTCATTTTTCTCTCCAGTTTGCTTGAACACACTGCTTTTTTTTTAATTGACTCCTATTTTAAGAAGTTGTAGATTCAAAGAACATATTCCTGGCTTAAGAATATAACATGGTGAAGGGGACAGTTTGCCGTGTCTAACAGAGCTTAACTGTATAGGTAAATGCTCTTTGAGTTCCAAGTTCTGAACCATTTTTATACTTAGATGTACAGACATTTACTAGTGCCTTTGCTTTTTGTTCTCCTTTTATCTCCTGGCAATTTTAATTACAAATGTGTAAAAGTAACATGCTCAAAACAGAAACTAGTCCTTCTAATTTTTTCATTAGTGTATACTGTTCTGGAATCTCCTAAATTGTTGTCTATGATTATTTCTTCTCCTTCCAACTCCATATACAAATCAGATACCAAATTCTGTTTCATTTTCTCAAAATTCTATTTTGGAAGTGGGAATGCACCTGGTGGTGTTCAGGGCTTAGGCCTAGCTTTGTGTTCAAGGATCACTCCTGGTGGACTTGGGGGACCCTATGGGGTGCTGGGATCAAACCCAGGTCATCTGCGTGCAAGGCAAATGCCCCATCAGCCCTACCCACTGAACTACCACTCCAGACCAATGAAATTACCTTTTTGTTCTATCACTACTATCTTAGTAGACTTTCAGTGTCATTTGACTAGGTCTTTCAATAACACCTCTTTTTGTATCTCTCAGGTCTGGTTGAAAGGCTCTTCACCAGAAGTTCAGGAGGACTGTGAGCTCCTAACAGCTTTACACAAACTCCAGTGCATGTGTGGAATAATAAATGTAATATACTTTCTAACTGACCCTGGAAAATATTCTGAAAGGACCACATCCTTCATGCTCTGATAGATGGGTCATCCACTGTTGGGTCAATGTTGGGTCAGACCACTGTTGGGTCAGTGTTCTACTTAACTCTCAGGTCTGTTCAGAGATTAACCCCCACTCCATCTAACCTCTAATGGCCGAAGCTAAGTTCATGATCCTCTGACAACACCTGAGGGTCTCTGCAATTCAGTATCTGGCAGTATTTAATTTAACTTTCTATTCCAAGGGTCATGTAACACTCCAACTCATAGTGCATCTGGACAACTTCAATCTACTTGAATTCTCCCTCCTCTG